CGCACACGCGCATGCGCGCGCGTGCGCGCGCGTTTTCGCGCGTAAAACTATTACACAACATAAAATCGCCATTCTTTTTCTTCTATAATATTCCACATATTTTTACAAACAAATTGATACCATGTTTGTCTCTTTATGACTATTAATAATGGAATGATCGACCGTTTAACAAAAATTTCCTTGCGCGCGAGCTCTTGTAATACATAGCATATAGTGGCAAAAACATGCCTATACAAAATCCATTGTAGCTCTTTAGGATGCAAGGTGACCCCAATTTTTTTTCATATTTTAATAGAATACGATTCGGAGATATTTTTTGATGTCTCATTAGACCCTTAATTAACTCATGACGTCATCATAATGGCCTCCGAACTCAAAATTCCAATTTGCATATTATGACGTCAGCATATTTATGGAAAATTGATTGTATCTCTGTAAATATTGATCGATTTTCTTCCAAATTTTGATATGTTTTAGCTGAGACAGATTTCTACAAATGCATCTTTTCTTATTTTTCATTTTGACAAAAGCATCATGGCGTATTTTTGCGATTAAAGGAGGCATGTCAATTTTTCACTTTTTGCGTGTATTCTCTATGGGACATGACTTTTTCTCAAAACTCGATTCTACATTCCCGTCTTTCGCGAGCAATATATACGTCGTTTTAGCTTCGTTTACGCTGAACTTCGAGTATGTTGTAGCTGAGACAATAAGATATCTCAAATGTGCTCTTTATTTTGTCTCGATTTTTTGTTGGATCAGCCCACCTATACTTGTTCCAAACAAGTATTACAAATCTAGTTTCTTTATTTTATTTCTAACCACTTTTTTGTTAACAAGATAACTTGAAAATGGTTCAATCAAATGCCTTGAAATTTTGCACACATATGTATAGGCATCTGGACAAAACACGGTAAGGTTTTTAATCTTGACCTTGACTGATAACGTCATCTAGGCGCCATTTTGTGAAATTTTCTGAAAATCAACTCATGATCATATCTTCATAACCAAAAGTTTTTTCTCATTCATATTTATCATGATCAAGGTCAATATCAGTGCGGTCAATTTAAGGTCAAAAAACGCGCGCGTGCGCGTACGTCCGCGCGTCGGTACGCGCGCAAAATTTAAAAATGCTCAAAATCGTTTCAAATTTATTTTGCATACGTTTTAGGCCATTTTAAGCATTTTATAAAAAAATCGCGCACACGTGCATGCGCGCGCGTTTTCGCGCGTTACACCATTACTTAACTTTGAATCGCCATTTTTTTTCTTTTATGATAATTCCCATATTTTTTCAAACAATTTGATACCATGTTTATCTCTTTATGACAATTAATAACAAGATGAGAATCCATTTAACATAAATTTCCGTGCGCGCGAGCTTATGTAATACATAGCATATATGGGCAAAAACATGCTTATACAAAATCCATTATAGCTCTTTGAGATGCACCAGGGGGGTGTTTCACAAAGATCCTAAGTTGAACTTATCTCTAAGTTGGACTTAAAAATTATGGAAAGCCATTAGCATCTTTGAAAATATTTTGTAAAAGTTATTTTGAAAGGCATTAATTGTTTATTCAAATCATTCATATTTTCTATCATCAAGGAGATTTCATGTTCTGGATGTGGAATTTATAAAAAGTCTGAAATACTTGAATTTCTGCTTTTGAATATATTTCATTTTAAGACTCCAATGGCTGTCCATAATTTTTAAGTCCAACTTAGAGTTAAGTTCTACTTAGGATCTTTGTGAAACACCCCCCTGGACTCCCAATTTTTTTTTCATATTTTGATAGAGTATGAGTTGGAAATATGATTTCATGTCTCATTTGGCCATTAAAAATATTCTGACGTCATCATAATGGCCCTTAAACTTAAAATACAAATTTGCGTATTATGACGTCAGCATTTTTATGGAAAATTGATTGTATCTCTGTAAATATTGATCAATTTTCTTCCAAATTTCGATATGTTGTAGCTAAAACAATTCTCTACAAGCTCAGTAATCCTCATTTTTCATTTTGATGACGTCATCATAGTGAAAATTTCGATTAAAGGCCTTATCTCAGAAATTTCATAATGTTCTTTTTATGCCTAGAGAAGCTGAATTACGTTCACGTCATGAATCTACATGATATTGTTCTTTTAGCATTTTAAAGCAGTGTCTCGCTTATTTTTGCTCTATTTTGTCTCAAATTTTAGTTGGACCAGCCCACCTATACTTGTTCCAAACAAGTATTAGATGTCTAGTTGTATGTGTTTTTTAAAATCAGATGTGGAAATAAAACTTAAACTTAAACTTGAACTTGAACTTGAACTTAGCCGCTGCCTGACACTCTGATGATGATAATTGGCCTTCACAAATCTCCCGAAATTCTTCAATGAAGTGATTAACCTTGTTATATCCAACGTTCCTAGTGTTTGTGTCATTTAGCCCCTAAAGCACTCCAACTTTTGAGAAATTGAATAGTCTAAAGCTTACCGGTGCTCCCGGATAATTTCAAATATTTCAAATTGCGCCTAAGGCCATTCCATTGTAGCTGCGACCATGAAAATCTCAAAATATGCAGTTCTGATATATAATTCCAAATGGGAATAGCAAATCGGTTGATTGTAGTCAAGGAACATTGTTTTAAAGCTAAAGTAATATCAGTCTTGAGAGGGAGTTATACAACATTATGGCCCGAATTCACAACGGAGGTCTGAGGACAAACCCGGTTTGATCAGACCAAGGTTTGTACAAACCTTGGTCTGAGCTCAAACCTGGTTTGTCCTCAAACCCATTCCACAAAGGAAGGTTTGTATAAACCTTGGTCTGTAATTCCCAAACCTCAGACCAAGGTTTGTAAAACTAGTCTCAGCCATAGGGTTTCTAACAGAATTTTCATGGGCTAGTATTTAAATGTTAAGAATTGAAAAAAACTGTTAAACTAAGCATTCTTAGTACGATCCGGACATCTTAATGAGCAGTCTTGAAAAGATGATGGTTAGAACATCTCTGAAATAAACTTTTGAATCGCATTTTCATGAATTAATCGAACCAAACTGGCGCGCCGAAGCAGAAAGTGCCCCACGTACTTACATTTGTGTGGTGCTGGTGAAGCACTCAATCTGACCCAGAACAAATTGACATCGGCACCTGAAAACCTTCGTTAGATTCCTACATCTAAGGTTGTCAAGGGCTCTTTTAAAATAACTGTAAGAGTCTTATTGTTTTTGGGGCTACAAATTCTTATCAATAAAATCACCTGATTATAATAATGATTTAATATGAATTAAGTTTTTATTGTGATTAATATATTAATTCATTTGATTGCAAGTCGCACATATCCTCCTTTCATGCCATTTTAGTTTTGTCTTGTATATTGTGTTCCATATTCAAAAGTCTTAAGTTTATACTTGTTAATTACTATAGATCTATATATTTTGTTAGAATGGTCAATCAATTATTATTTTAACTAGTTCCCCGTTTGTTTCCCCAACTGGCCATTTTTTTCACATCAAAATTGTAACTGGTAAATGATTTGTTTCCATATAATATTAATTTTTAAAAAATTCCTCTATTGCCATCTTTTCTTTCTCTCTCCCTCCCTGTCTCTTTCTCTGTCACCGTCCCTCCTCTCTCTTTCTACCCATTTTTGTTCTCTCTCTCTCTCTCTGTCTTCTTCTTCTTTTTCGCAATGAAACACATAATGCAAAACCATGCAAACTGCAAACACACACATCTGCACACCCCGGTCCCCCCCTCCCCCCCAAAAAAGGGAGAAAGATAGAGAGAGATAATCTGACGCATATCTATTTCAGTTATCTTTGTAAATATATGAAAGCAAGAATATTGTATTTGTATTTTCATGTTTTACATAAATAATTGAGCATACAACACAATAGTAATTTACCAACTTTGTTCAAACAATGCAGTTCACATTTGTTAATTTTGTAGCATGTTTATATGAAATATAGCTCACTAGAGGCTCTGGAAGGCCAATTAAAAGTCTCACTGTAGCGCTTTTACCAGAAAGAAAATCAGAAATACAAAAAAAAACGGTGACGAAAATTCAAATTGTTCACATAATAGTTCTTTAATTCTGACTTCGCTTAGTACAGTAAATAATAACATTTGTTCGAATACTCTCCCCTAGCTGACCACCAAATAATATATATTGACCCACCCCCTCAACTCAGCAGTGTATACAATGCTAATTATAGTTAAATCTGGTGCATTTAATCTACAGAGAACACTTAATTACAAATACCGTCAGAGTGACAACAAATACTTATCAACTAAACATAACATCAAAAATATCCCCCCCCCCTGGCCCACTGAAAAAAACTCTTTAAAAATGTTATAGCCAAGAATTGTTTTAGGATTATATCATGCAAAAATAATTCTTTGGTAGACCCAGCACAGATTATATAAAGACAAACCATTCGCAAAAGTAATATCATTATTGTAATTCACTGAGAACTTAGACAATTCAAATTGCACTGTTATACAATCACAATAAATGCATTTAACCACATGTGCAATTATATTTTTGTTTTAAATGGATGGAATTTCAAACATGTTTGTTTCACAAACCATAATCAATGTATTCAAGCACATGGACTGTTTCACAATTTACAGGTATGCGCAAGTTAATGTGACTTTTGAAATTGGGTCATATTGGCCCGAATTCCCAAAGAAGGTTTGTAGACAAACCTAGGATTATGTGCGTCATATGACGCATTTGAAGGTTTAGACCTCATGCAAGGTGAAAATTTAATCGCAAACTTGTTTACCTCAAGTAGAATAACAATTTTGTTTTTGTTTAAATGATGGGGACCTTGATCTTTTGTAATTATTCATGGATCAAACAAAACACGCATGGAACGTCCTCATCCTTACATTTAATAAATATGCGCTCAATCGCACATCTCCCTTTTTTGTGCGTGAAGTGTTAAAACCCCACTGTACTACTTGAATCAACTTGCTCCCTCTATATAGAAAACTTCCCCAATTTGTGCCTGTTGGTCCCCCATGATCCTCTTTTTCTTATTTTAATTGAGAACTGAATTGATGAGATAGCCACCCGTCAGTGACCTCGCTGGGTTGTCTAATCCTCTTTGGCTGAACTAGTACATATGGCCTTTAAAGCACATCTGTGGTCGAACCTCTGAATGAAGAAATGGCTTCTGATGAGGCAGAGAAGGCATGGATACCTGCAAAATCGAAAGGAGAAAATAAACAATATCCTAAACAATATTCTTAATTACAATTTGTTCATTTTTTTCTTCTTGGAGGGGGTGGGGGGGGGGGGAATACTATAGAAAAGGATACAATATATTGTACACATAATCAGGAATTATTTAATCCTGTGTCACTAATACAACAAACTATGAGGTTCCACTTGACAATAAACTAATCAAGTTGCATACAGATATCAAAAATATTAATTGTGATTTGTGAACTGAAATTTAAAAGCACATGAGCTCATTTGAATTAATTACTTAATGCGAGTTGTTACTATAGTATATTACCAAATGAACATTCCTAACATGTCACATGTTGGCCAAATACAAAAAGGAAACAAGATTGACTAAGAAAAAGAATAAACAAATTTGTTCATATAAAGAAATAATCTACCTACCCTATAGTCTATCTCCAAGAATCAACTGTTATTCATATGCCCTAGCATCAAGCTGTCAATTCAGTGCACACTCAGAAAAGATCCTGGCAACGTGGCTGCTACCAGTCCAGGCCACCTTGCAACGATACTAGTTATTTTCCCAGCATAATCACAGACAACCTGTCAATATGAAATAACATGTTGGCATTCATTAGTTATGAAAACTCACTAATTTCACACTTCAGATTGGCTGTAAAATGTATCAATTTCACTTGTTATTCATGATAATTAATGCAAATGCAGTTCAATATTTGATAATTGCTGTTCAATATCTATTTACACAACAAAAATTGGAAGAAAATGCTAATTACCCTATATATATTGACTGATGAAGTATTTCTTCATTTTTAACTCATGTTTTTCATTGTTTATCTTGTATCAATGTAAACAAAAATAATCTCACTGTAAACAAAACATTTTGAGCCTAAAACAACAACAAATGCTTTGTGTGTATGGGTTAGCATGGATGTACAACACACAATACTGGAGATTGTATATATCTAACGTGCAAATTTTGCAACCTAAACAAAAAGGCCTAAAGCCAAAGGGAAAGCCGTGCCGGATCCAGTCATGATGTATTCATTTATTCTCACCTGAACATCGATGGAGTACCTGTTCTTCATATTGAAGTAGTTCCTGGCTCTTGCCCCACCAGGGCTCCTGATGTAAACATGTGTTCCATCAACAGCACCCACAACTCCTGGAAATCTGCAGCACTGGAAAAACTGCTTCTGAATAGTAATCACTTCTTGCCTTGTTGTAAGTTTGTAACTTGTAGGAAACTTCATGACTTTCCCCCTTTCTTCTGGCAACAGCTTCGGAAACATCCCTCACTACTCTCCATTCGGCAAACAGATGACTGTGACACGGCATGCCGCCTCCTCACCGTGCATCCTTTAGATCAAATTACCCTTTAAAAAAGAAGAAAAAACAAGCATTCAAATAAATCATTTTTTGGCTGGTTTATGCTATTATATTTTTGCATCCCCAACTGTTACTGTCACTTAAAAAAAAATGATCCTGATTTCTAGATGTGGTGTGAATCAGTTTAACATAAAAGACAAAATTGTCCATGCCTTTTCTAATCTCCTTCACGGCTGCACCTTTTGTAAAATTTAAGTACACAAACCAACAAATCACAAACTTGTTTCCAACACATAATCTGAATAATTTCCTCATATATTAAAAAGCCAAATAACAGTATTGGGAAATGCCCCACACACAAATTATGAAAATTATGCTTTCATCGCCTACCATGTGACAGAATAAATATCATAACTTATCTATCAATGTATGGAAAAGACAGAAAATGCTTATAAATGGAATAAATTTATGTAAACGCACATGTGCATGGCATTGGGGGCTTGCACGGTCGTAGGCAGACCAGCGGAGCGGGGCAAACGAACAGTGAATTTAGGCGGTCAACATGAATTAAAATATTTCTGCATTTTAATAACGACACTAGGGTTGGATTTTACAACAGAAGCCCTTTTTTTATAGCAATGGCAACAATGATCATCAAGTAGTTTGGCCATGTTTTCGGCAACTTTCCCAATACAGAATTTGAATTCAAAGTAGACTCTACTGTACCTGAATCTGAAACAAAAGGCTCATCCTCCAGCGGGTTTTCCCAGTCTCAGAGGCCTTTGCCCGGTTGTGCTGCTATATATTGCTCCAGCTCCCCAGCTCATTATGCTGAATCAGCTGCATTTCTACCATCTTTACTGGAGTGAAGATAAAATGAAACAAATGTTTAAACAATGTTTTTAAAATAAAGAAATGTTAGTCTACTTGTAAGTTGTGGCATGTGCTTGTGACTTTGTGGGTGATCCTGGCTCTGGAGACCATGCAAGCCAGTTAATTAAGACAATTAGATACAGATCTAAATTTGATAAAAGCTTTGCTTGTCAGTGCCGTTCATCTTGAGGAACATTGGCATCGCTGATGCCACTAAAATTTATATTTACCAGTGAAACAAGTCATTATTGCCAGGCCTAGGGCTAGGCTAGAACCTGGCATTGCCATTGGCATATCAATCATTATCATGAATTTGTAATAACTAGTGTAGGTCTAGATCTAGGCCTAGTCTAATTGGCATGTGTCATGGCATTGTTGACAACAAGACAAAATTAAACATGACAGTCATACTCAGATATACATGTAGATCTAGATGTTTACATGTAGTCTACTCTAGGCCCGGCTAGGCCTAACTCCAGCCCAGGGTCAGGGGGTGCGAGCTCCGCCGCCGCCTTGGGCGTTAGACTCGAGCTCCCTCAGACTCAGTCCCTGAACTCAAAATTGAGAGGCCATCGGATATGTAAACACCGAACATTTCATGGTAAATGGAAAGTTATAAAGCATATCACATATTGAAATGTCAATAAAGTAAAGAATATGGATTCGACTACATGTACAGGTTTTATACTTACGATTTTAAGGAAAGGATCGAGAGATTGAGAGATTTCAATTGCACTAAAATCGGGCTGACCTGATACTATCGCAGATTGTGTTGGCGGTGAATTATTTTGATAAAATCAATCGAGCATAAATTATCTCAGCCCAGTGCTGCATCCTGATTGGTTGATAGCTCTCAAACCAGGTTTGAGAAATTACAAACCTCCTATCTGAGCAGTCTGTAAATTTCGGGTCTGATGACGTACATAAACCTGGTCTGAGAACAAACCTTGCTTTGTGAAATGCAATTTCAGACCAAGGTCTGAACTCAAACCTGAAACGCGTCATATGACGTACGAAAACCTAGGTCTGAGGACAAACCTCCTTTGTGAAATGCATTTCAGACCAAGGTCTGAACTCAAACCTGAAACGCGTCATATGACGTACGAAAACCTTGGTCTGAGGACAAACCTTGCTTTGTGAATTCGGGCCAAAGAGTTTATTATTTACAATTTCATCACTTTAGACTCGATTTCAACCGCGACAACGATAATTAAATATTGTACAATCGCATATGCTTCCGACATGTTCATTTGAACCAAATTCATGACCACATATCAAAACTTTGTTTACCTTTATATGTATCGAAAAATGTATATCATGGATTAATTGACGGGACATTAGACCATGCGAAAACAAGCGCATTATCCTAAAATGTTGAGTTTTTGTCAAGATCAATTTTTTATTTTACCACATCTTGCGCACAAATTATATAAAGGGCGGACTACTGAATTTGATTTTTTTTTAATTCAATATTCCCAATACAATTTCCATATAAAGTTTATAATTTATACTGAAATTTTGCCGAACATTTAATAAATGTGAAACTGGTGCCTTACCTCCGAAATTCCCCGCAGTGGGAGAACAGCTCGGAGCATGGAATCTCAAAGCCAAGTGGTACGTTACGCATCCCATTATTACGCTTTAGAACCCACGCATGCGTTTGAATACATTACAACAGTTCCCCCTCCTTCTCTATCACCTCCCTAGTTCAACATGCTATTTAAGTACAATGACTGATAAAAAATGACTATAGATAGGTCTCCATTTTACTAACGTGTCTAAATTTTATTCCAGATCCGAAATATTAACAGCAAGGAGGAATATTCTAGATGGACAACGTGCATTCGAGTCCAACGAACGAGTTAAAATGGTTTATATAAATTGCTGTCGGATTATGGTTTTTGAAAAATTTGATAAATGTGCAATAATCGCAGTACACCTACCATCGCTTATCCTTTAATTTCTCGCTTCGACGAACAGCGGTCTATTCAGTTTCGTTGACTCCACGCACACGGGCCAATTTTATAGGATCATATACCTCATTTGAACGTTTAATTCCCTTTAAATTTCCTGTGCGTGGTCACGCTGCTTAGCACCCGGTAATATGGTAATCCTCTTTCACATGTAATTTTATGTTGAATTAGCCTTGGTCGCCAAACTATATATTATTCCAATCAACATTAAAATGGAATGCCCGAGATCACATTTGGCAATTGACGACAAATAAGAATGAATCTTTGCACACGCGTTTAATAGACGGAATGAAGTTGGATGATAAAAGTGCAAAATCCCGCGACCGATACTCTTAATTCAGAGAACGAATAAACATTTTGTCAAACGGACTTAAAATAGGGCAGTGAAATTGGCCAGGAAAACCATGATCCTTAACAATTGTTATTCATTTTGAATTTTTACAGGGCCAGCTATGTCATTGTGTGTCGAGTACGGCTCAGAAGAAATAAGACAATCTTCAGTCCTCTTCAGACTGCCTCCTGACTTGTTCTTGATCTGCAGCAGATAGCATCTGGTGGTCAACGACAGGAAGGAGAATATACCCGACTATAAACACTCATCACATTACATTGAGTTAGTTATTAGTACATTGTAGCCATAGCAATGAAATCAATAATAATTGTTATGATATTTCTGAGTGACTGCCGATAAGACCGTTGGCTGAGAACCTTAACAAGATGATCACAAGTCCTATCCCGATGATTATATCCTGATTTATCTGATCATTAACATGATTCAAGTTGGTTTATAACAACTTAAGGAGTTTAGTCACCCTTGAAACAACTATTGCCCACTACATCTGGTGATATATATATTAAACCTATGAAACATACGAATAGGCACTTATCGATGGATTACATTTCTACATTAATGTAATATTTTTTTTGGATTATGTATCATATTAGTGCATATTGAGATAGGAGATTTACAATGTCGGAATTTGAACGCAAAGTTTCACGCAATTTGCAGTGCCCCGTTTGTTTCGAGCTGCTTAGTGACCCGAAGCAGTTATCGTGTACACATACTTTCTGTAAGGAATGCCTTAATGATATTCTTAAAATGTCTTCACATACTTCTCTAACATGTCCCATCTGTCGAAGCGAAACATTTGTAAAGGGTGGCAATGTCTCAAATCTAAATACTAATGTTCCTCTTAAATCTCTCATTGATGATGTGAGAAATAGCAAGCAAGTCTGTGAAATGTGCGACTCAAACTCGAGAGCTGTACATTTCTGCTGTGAGTGTAGTAGGAACGTGTGCAACACATGCCTCAAGATTCACAACAAATGGCCGACTCATGAAAAGCATAGAGTTGTGAGAGTAGAAGACGTCAGAGAAGGAAGGGTAGTCATCGAAAAAGAGGTTTACTGCCAGGAACACAAAGCAAATAGACAAACACACATCTGTACTGATGTGTGTATCACTTGTAAGAAGTTCATCTGCATGAGATGTAGGTTGCTGAGTCATGAGAAGAAAGGCCACACAGTTCAAGATGCTGAGGAATACAATGCTTCTACCAAGACACACATTGTATCTCTACAAGCCCGAGGTAAAACGAAAGTTACAACCATCAATAATCACGTGACCTGTATCAAGAATCAGAAGGAACGTGTCACTGATCACATTGCCGGCAAAAAGGCGGAAATCAACAAGACCTATCAAGAATTACTCAAGAAATTAAACGAGAGGAAAGCAGCATTAGACCAGCAGTTGGATACTCAGGAAGTGAAATTGTGTAAAAGATTGGATGAGATGAAGGATGTTGATGAGAGGTTGGTTACGAATATCGAGAGTGCCAGTGTGTTAGCGGGTAATTGCATGAAGGCTCCATTAGAAGGTGATATCATTGTTATTCGTGATACATTGTCTGGTGAGTTGAAGAATGTACTAGATAGGGATGATCCAGAGAAGAAGCTGGCTACGGATGTAGCTGACCATGCAGAGCAA